AAATTAGAAAAAGTGGAAGTGGCAATGAATATAAAAAACTGGATGTGGAAATGGGAATGAAAATTAGAAAAAGTGGAAGTGAAGTGGAAATGAGAATTAGAAAGAGTAGAAGTGAGAATGGAATTGTGAATGAGAATTAGAAAAAGTATAAGTGGAAATGGGAATGAAAATTATAAAAAGTTTAAGTGGAAGTGAAAGTGGTAATGGGAAAGTAGTGGCAAAGTTTCTGTGAAAATATATTTTAGAAACTCTTAATTTTTTTATAGGTACTAACGTTAGTAACATTAGTAATGTCAGTAACATTAGTAACGTTAGTAACGTTAATTTTTTCACCTGGGAAGTACCAATGAATCTGCGAATTACATTGAAAAAAAAGATTTTGTGTTTGCAACAAAATCGTTTGGTTAGACAATTTTGGGTTGGCTGAAACAAAGTCGTAGAGTTATCTCAACCAAACATTTGGTTAGGCCAACAACATTATTTGGTTGAACATTTTGAAATTTCAAAATTTGGTTACGACAACAAAATAGTTTGGTCTAAAAAATCAAATGATCATAACCAAAATTTGGTTACACTGTAAAAAATTTAGGGAGTTAACAGGACTAGGAGTTGGGAGTTCGATTTTTCGAGTTAAAAATCAACACCAAAAAGGAGTTAACTAAGAGTAGAAGGGAGTTCAGGTTAGGGAGTTTAGTATTAACTCCCTTTTGAGTTATTTCATAATGGAGGATCATATTCTCCAACTCGTGTAAGGAGTAAAGTTAAACTCCCTTTGCTTTAACTCTCCAATGGGTGGGACTTTTATAGCATCCGAAATTCAACTCCTTTTTTTACAGTGTACAAAGACCAAATACACAGAAAAAACCTAGTCTAATTTTTGTTGCAACTCAAAATGAGCCAATGCTAAGCGACATAGACAATGGCGCCACCAACCTGACTCATTTTTGTTGCACTTCAAAATGAGTATAGCGTATATACGCTACTCATTTTGAGACCAGGTTTTTTATGTGTAATTTAATTCGCTCTCAGCTCGTACCATATGAGAATAATTAATTTAAAATTATAACAGTTTTATGTGTACATAATATCTCAAATATTATTGATATAAATTAAATAAAAGTTTTATTTTGAAACGATACGATAAACATATATAATATATATATAAATCTGTTCAGTTGGAATTGTTTAAAATAACTGCGAGTAAGAATGCTTAATGTTATATACGTTTGTTCCGTTGAAATTAATTGTTAGTAGAATAATTAATTAAAATTCGCTCTGTTTTGTTGTGAATTCAACCCACTAATTTGCGAGGAAAAAGGGTAGTTAAATGGTTTGCACCACATGTATATATATATATATATATAGAAGAGTGTGCATAAAGTACTCGATTTTTGAAATAACATTTTGGAACATTCAGAGTAGGTAAAACACATCTTTTTAACATATAACTTCAAAATTGATTCACGATGATTGCATTTTGAGTTCATTTAATTTGAAGTATAGAAATTATCCTGAATTCTTTGAATTATCATGAATTACTTTGAATTATCTCGAATTATCTGAAGTATCGCGAATTGCTTTGAATTATTTCGAATTAACTTGAAGTATACGAATTATCCTTAATTATCTGAAATATCATGAATTACTTTGAATTATCTCGAATTATCTTAAGTATCGTGTATTACTTTGAATTATCTGAATATGAAATATCTGAATTATCATGAATTACTCTAAATTATCTCGAATTAACTTAAAGGAGATAAATTACCTTTAATTATCTTAATTATTATTAATTACTTTGAATTATATAAATATATATATATATATATATACTAGGGGGCTACGCCCCCTGCAAGCTTCGCGCGCCAACCCCCATTCTCTAAAATTTTCGAGACAAATTCTGAACGGTACGTGAATTGCATGGTAGGCGAGTACAGCGAATTCCAGCGTAGTGTCAAAATTCCCCCTTCCCCTCCTTTCCCCCTCCCCCACCCTAAATTTAGAGGTTAAGATCGTTTCAAGACTCTGAATATAGCCGCAAGTCCCCCCCCCTTCCCTCCCCTCTCTTCTACCCCCTTCTCTTGACTTGCGGCTATATTCAGAGTCTTGGAACAGCGGTGGCGTTGGCGGCGATATCTTTTTGTAATATAGGTAGATATATTCGCTCCCTGCGCGCTTCGCGAGCTAACCCCCTATTTAAATTTACTAAAAATATTAAATATTATTTTGATTAAATTTATATTTAATAAAAAAATTTTTAAATTTGAACAGCAGAAATTTATTTATATTTTAATAAAAACATAAACTATAAATTGTAACTTGCATTCGTAAACTAAATTTTCATCTATTCTGCAATTGAAAAATTAATTAGGGACCGAATAAGTTTTTATATGTTTTTAAAGATTAATTTTAAACCTAATTTCTTTAAATAAAATTTATTATTTCATTTTAAAGAATTTGTTTCTAAGATGTACCACGGATGACGTCCTTCTAACCTATGATGACCCTAATTTTGGGGTAATGTCAGATTTTTTCTATAACTTTGACCAAAATTTTGAGGTTATGTTCGCCTACACGCCTATGACTTTTAACGTAAATTTATGGTTATGTTCTCCTTTGACCTATGACCTTTAAAAGTTTAAAGGGATGGTTTTATTTTGACCTCTGATAATAATTTTGAGGTTATGTCCGTCTCTACTCCATCAAAAACTTTGGTTTTTGACATATGTCCTTGATTTTTGAAGTTATGTTCGTTTTAATCTATGATTCTGTCGTTTGTCCTTGAGTATTGATGTTATGTTAATTTTTAACTTATGTTTTTGATATAGATAGTATAATATCTGAAATTTTCGAGACAAATTCTGAACGGTATACGAGTTTTAATGCTTCGCGAGTTGAACAGTAGGCGAGTACTGTGAGCTCTCGCGTAGCGTCGAAGTTCTCGCCTAGCGTTCATTCTTGAATCAGCGGCGGCGATATCTTTTTATAATATAGTAATGATATATATATATACTAGAGGGGCTACGCCCCCCTGCGCGCTTCGCGCGCCAACCCCCCTATTTTAATCATTTTTTTTTAATTTTCCATTGATCTTATTTTTCCAAATGAACCACCTATTTCAAAGAATTATTATTAAAAATTCATTGAAATCTGACTAAATATTATTAAAATTAAAATTATTAAATTTTAATTAATAAATTAATTAAATTAATAATAAATAAATAATTAAATAAATTAAAATCGACATTAAGAAATTATTTTTAAAAATAATTTCAATGAAATTGCCTAAAAACCAATAAATTATTAAAAAGTCTTGAAACGAACATAACCTTTAAATTCAAGTCATTTTTGGCGGAAACTCCACCTTCACTTGCGGCTATATTGAAAGTCTTGAAATTTACATAACCTTAAAATTTATGTCATTTTTGGCGGGAAATATAGAGAGAGAGATGAGGGAAGGGGGAAGGACTTACTGCTTTATTAGGGTCTTAAAACAAACATAACCTCAAAATTTAGGTCAATTTTTGGCGGAGGAGGGTAAATGAGAAGAGGGAGGGGGGACTTGCGGCTATATTCAGAGCCTTGAAACGAACATAACCTCAAAATTTAGGTCATTTTTGACGGAGGAGGGAAAATGAGAGGAGGGAGGGGGACTTGCGGCTATATTCAGAGCCTTGAAACGAACATAACCTCAAAACTTAGGTCATTTCTGGCGGGGGAGGGGAGGGGACTTGCGGCTATATTCAGAGTCTTGAAACGAACATAACCTTAAAATTTAGGCCATTTTTGCGGAGGAGGGGAAATGAGAGGAGGGAGGGGGGAATTGCGGCTAAATTCAGAGCCTTGAAACGAACATAACCTCAAAATTTAGGAGGGGGGACACCCCCCTCCTAGGTCAAGAATTCTTGAAACAGCGGTGGAGGCGGCGATATCTTTTTGTAATATAGGAAGATATATACATGAAATATCTAAAGTATCTGAAGTATCGTGAATCACTTTGAATTGTTTCGAATTAACTTAAAGTATTTGAAATATCTGAATTATCTGAAACATCATGAATTACATTGAATTATCTCGAATTACTATAAATTATCTGAAGTATCGTGAATTACTTTTAATTTTTTTTTGAATTACATTGAATTATCTCGAATTAACTTAAAGTATTTGAAATATCTAAATTATCATGAATAACTTTGAATTATCCTGAATTATCTGAAGTATCGTGACAATTTTTGTTTTTTATTTTCATTGATTAAATTTGATCTACTTGCATAATTTCATTAAAATTTTGATATGAAATTTCAATTCTTTTACATTTTCTTATATTGTAAACTTTTCTATAAAATTGCTTTTAATCAATCACAACATCAAGTTTAATATAATGAATTTGCATAATTCATTTGACTGAACACTTTTTTAAAATGATTGATTATATCTTATTTTATTCCAAGTTTTTTGCATCAATACAAAGATAAATGAACATTATTATTGTTAAATAAATATAAGTTGAAACATAGTACATGAAAAAAAATATTTACCTAAAACAGCGAAAGGTTTCATTATATAATAGGGAACTATTTTATACATGAAACAAGTAAAACTTTTGCTACTATAGTGAAACGTTTCGCTGTTCTAGGTAAATATTTTTTTCCATGTATAATAATGAAAGCATCAATTAAAATGAGAATCAAAAAAATTGATAATATCAGTTTCAAAAATGGTAAATTGGTATGAATATCTTTTATATAAGACGAGAATACTAACTAAACTATATTTATCCTGGTTTTTCCTGTTAGACACGAGTAAGAGAGAGAGAGAGAGAGCTTTCGTTCTGCGGTGCGAGCTTGCGCTCTGGAGTAGAGTGCGAGGGCGCCTAGAAAAGTGTAGATGCGAGGGGGATGATAGGACGAGCTTTTTGAGAGAAAGGGGTTCCCAGTAGGGGGGAAGGAAGGTAGTTTAGGTAGGTAGTGAGAAAGAGAGGGGGTCCTGGCAGGTGGATTGGTGGTGGGGGAAACAGGAGACCCGGGCAGTGCAAGCCGGGCAGCCCGCCCGACAATACGGCCGCTCTCAGAGTGACGTCACGCGATCCAAAAAAAAAAAAATAACCGAGAGACCGAACCGAGCGAGCTACCCCTCACCACTGCCCGCAACCTCGAGTAGGTCGAGTCAAGTAACAGGTTGGTGATTTAGATCCGCTCAACTATTATTTTTTTTCAATTTCATTTTTTTTTTTTTCTTTACCAAATGTACAAAAAATTATATCTAGTTTTATTAAAAAAATTCTTTAATTTACATTCTTTTTTTTCTTTTAATTAATGAAGGTCTTTAAAAGGTGATAATTTGACAAAGTGATTTAGGAACAAATATTGCTATAACAACAAGCATAAAGTTATGGGGGGTGTATTTTAATTAATTTGTATTCCCATAAATTATGTATTTACAGAATAATAAATCGTCACGCTCTTCAATTTTCTCATTAAATTTTTGACGATAATATAGCATTCAAATTGTCCGAAAAAAATTTTTTTTTCTTAATTGTAAATTTAGAATCAATCACAGGTACTAATTTGTCAATATGTATTTCGTATTGGCGGAACAGAGTTGACCTTGTTCTCATTTTCTACGTTTCAAAGTGAGAATCATGGCTCTAAAAATATATGTATACATATTTTTCCCAACATTATGTAATAATTTTTAAATGGACAAGGGAATTTTCTCTTTTACAAGAAAACTTTAAAGATTCATGTTGTCAATTTATTTTCTCTAGTGTTATTAAAATTAGAATTGCAAGATGTAAAGAGATAAAACAGATACGTTGAGAAAAATGTTTAGTCAGAGCAACCTGGTTGGAATTTAAAAATGTTAAATAATTTTGTTGGCCTAACCAAATGTTTGGTTGAGATTTAACTCTACAGGTTTCAGTCAAACCAAAATTTCGTTATGAGAACCAAAATTGTCTAACAAAACAATTTTGTTGGAAAAAAAAAAATTTTTTCAGTGATATTATTTGTAAGATAAAAAATGTTTCGTTTTAGAATTTATTTCCGTATGTGAACAGGAATTTTGAGAAAAAAAATCTTATATATGCAAGCTGACGTTTTTTTTTTTTACTCAACGATAATATTTTGAATCTGCGAGTCATTCTTGAATATGTGGTTTAGATGAGTCAGCTTTAAAAATCTCTTCTCTAAAACTGTTGAGGAAATTGTAAATTATTTATTCTTCTACCTTTATTTTATGATTTTCTTCAGTAATAAATTTCCCTGTTATAATTTTATAAGACAATTACAGATAATTAAAATTAATTGTATATTCCTTCTTCTCTTGGAGTGCATCATATATAGTGTCTGACCAAACTCTGACTTAACTACTTGGATTTCACTTCGCACTGTAGAAATTCTATAAAAGCTTTTTAAATTCCTCTCTTCTTTTATATATATATATATACTCTAATGTATATATACATGAAAAGCATTAATTTTTTTACCAGCATTTTCTGAAGTAATGCAATTTAATCTTTTTTAATCCCTTAAGAATTAAATTTTATGTTAAGCTATATTATTTGTAATCCTTTTACTCGGTTTTCAAATAACAATAAAGAGAATTGTATAGATTATTTCTGAATTAATTTTGCTTTATTGAAAAAGTACTTGAGAAAAAAATAAATAGACTAAAGTATTAAATGTGATAATACTATGACAATAAATTTTTAATTAAATTATTTTTTTTTTAAATTGATTTTAAGCTAATTTGTTTCAAGGAAATTAAATTAATGAAGAGTATATATTTTCTAAAGAGGATTTTGCGGTAATAAACATTTTACATGCGATACACACAATATTCAGTAAAAAAAGTATAGTTTTATAATATTAAAAATTTTAAAGTAATAATTTTGAATGAGTTAAAAATAAATTAATGACACTAATTTGATTAGCAACTGTAATTAATGGCACTGTCAGTAATTAATAAAGTAAATGAAAAGTTTTGATTTGTTAACTGTGAAATGTAGTCATTGAATTGTGATTTTTGCAGTAGAGAAACTGAACGCGCACGAGATAACAATTTTATTGTGAGTTTCAAGCGAACAAACTTTCACGTACGGGAAACTTCTATTTATCCTCAAAGCAGTGAATTTAATTTGTTTCAAAAGATAAATGTATTCAATGTTGCAAAACTAGTTTTGAAACCTTGACTCTTAATGTGTAATAGGTTTGCTTTCAAAATCCTTTGACAAGTTATTTTTTAAATTATTTAAAAAAAATACACTCTAAATTTTTGAATCAGATCAATGAATCAATATAAAAAATGAAATGAAAAAAGTATTAATTATAATTTTAGATTTAGCATAGCAATATCAATTATATAATCATTAAAATTCCTCTTTAAATTTATGACTACAAAAGTAGACGACTCGTTAGCAATGTCCTCGAGAGATTCATATTGTATTGTTTAAAATGAAAGTAGTCCGAGGTCTTTGATAAAGGAATGGTATTGAACAAAGATTTTATTCTTGAAGAAAAGCGAAAGCGCTAAAGCTGTCATTACAAAAGTACAAGTGTTATATGTTTGTAAGATTTAAAGCTCTTGAAATAATTGCCTTATAGAATATATCCAATTTTTAAAAAAAAAAATTTACTTTTATTATTGATTTTATTTCATTTTTTTCTAGTATTTCTTGACATAAATCAGAATATGTTTTTTTCAAAATGAGAAACATGTCCCATTATTTATCATCAATGGACAACATTTTCTCTTCGTTGAAGTAATTTTATATTCCCCAAGAGCAGAGCTACATCGCATAAATTATCCTATAATGTTTCATGAAGTGCAGGGCTGTTTCTACTTCGTAATCGGTATAATGAAAGTGGAAGGTTGAAGCGTCGGGATAAATGAAGCAACTATCCAAGCATGTGCCAAGAAAGGAAACTTGAAAATTTCCATGAAAATATATATTCAAAATATATATATTATATTGAATAAGTTTGTTTTAACAATAAAAACATTTTCCTAGTGTAATCAAAGGTTCAACATTTTTTTTCTCATTTCAATCAAAAATTTTAAAGAAATTTTTGCATTGCTAAAAGTAGAATAAAATACGGAATCCAATTTCACGCTTCGTTTTTTTTTGCTTTGAAAATTTAAGTCTGTAATCTTTCATCTTCCCTCGAATATAATTCTTGAAATTGTAATTTTTCTGGCACGTATTCAAAGTCATTTGTCATAGCGGTGGTTTTTAGAATCTGTCAATCTCGAATCATTTTTCATGGGAGATTTTTCGAGATATATATATATATATATATTTATAGAGTTTGAAGATTAAGAACCTAAATCGTAGGTTGAGATTTTGTGAATTTGTCGAAATTGATGTTTTGAGAAGGTAGTCGTACATATTACCCCCGACAGGGTCACGCGTTGACCTAGATTTTTTATGTGGAACAAGCCACGACGACATTCATTGCACTGACGTTGCATTTACAGAACACATTTTCTGCAAAGTAGCCCTTTAACGGAATTATTGGTTTGTAAGGGAAACCAGCCGACTAACTGATTTGACCTCATATTCTATGTTTATGGTCCTCAAATTAGAGACTCCTGTGCATGTGTGTGCCTTTGTATATGTACGGTGGCGTGTTCGAAAACCTCGCACGACTTTAAAGGTCAACGACGCGACAAAATTTCTCATTAACGCAACTATCTTGATATGAGACTTCTTTTATCGTCAAAATAAATCATTTTTAGATTTTAATTTTATTCTCTTGAAATTTTAACATTTTTTAAATAAATATTTTTTAAAAATATTTTCAATTTTTGCATTAATTATAAAGTTTAATGTATATTGTAAAAGTATTATTAAAATTACAATTTATTAAGTCTTATGCAGATTGTCTTACTTTACAAAAAAACTTTATTAGTTTGCTCTAATGGTGTAATATAAATAAACTTGATCTTAACCCGTCTAAATGTTCCGTTGTAACATTCGCTATTTCTAATAATGTCTTTCTTTTTGATTACAAGGCTTCCGATAGTTTGATGCCTAGGAAAAATATTATTCGTGATTTAGGTATTACTTTCTCATCCAATCTATCCTTTTCTAACCATATACAAATAATTTACAAAGAAGCGTCCAGATCTTTGGGTTACCTTATTCGATCAACCAAACATATTAAGTCAGCTGACGTTTTAATTCTTTTATTTAATACGATCATTAGATTAAAAAATCGAATATTTACTCTTTAAATCTGAATCAGTAGAAATTTTACTAATTCAATCAGTACTTTAAATTTTAACTGATGTTTCAGTTATTTTTTGAAATTTACTAATATAATTAGTGAATATGCAAGCAATAGAAAATAACTTATGTAAATCAGTAATTTGTATATATAACATAACCTTTAAAATTAACTATTAAATCAGTAGATTTTGTGGCCACCGTCATATATTTATATTACTGATTCAATCAGTAATTAATATTTTACTAATTGAATCAGTAAATTTCTACTAATTATCAGTTGCTTAATTCTCACTATGGCAATTAGTAGATTTCTACTGCTAATCAGTGAAATATGACTGATTCAGATTTAGAGAGTAGCCTTACTTTGGGACCCCAACTATGATAAGGATATTTTAATGTTTGAAGGTCTACAAAAACGATTTTTAAAATATTGCAATTTTCGGAAATATAATTTTTATCCGCCTAGAGGGTCGGATTATCTGGAACTTTGTACCAAATTTAACGTTGTTACATTGAAAGAAAGACGAACAATCGCCAAATGTAAATTTATATATGCTTTATTAAATTATAAAATCGATTGTTCTGAATTACTTAATATAATTAATTTGAGAGTACCTCGCATAACCAGTAGAAAGTGGTTACCTTTTAATTTAACCTATAGGTTTTATTTCACCAATGTACGTCATGTGTAATGAATGAGATTTGTAGTAATGCGCAATCTGATTTTGATTTTTTCAACACAAATATTAGTGCCTTTACTAAACTTATTGTCGCCTACATGTTCCTTTTTTTTACAAATTATATGTTTTTATTTTTTTACATAGTGCCGAAAATGGTATTCCTACGGCTGTATTCTTTGCTATAAAAAAAAAAAAATGTTTCAATATATTATTCCAAATTGCAATTTTCAAGAATCTTCCCAAGAGTTTGAAACGCGTTATGTTT